TTTTAGAGGAACTGAGGAGACCAGTTCTGGAGGTTTTAGAGGAACTGAAGAGACCAGTTCTGGAGGATTTAGAGGAACTGAGGAGACCAGTTCTGGAGGATTTAGAGGAACTGAGGAGACCAGTTCTGGAGGATTTAGAGGAACTGAGGAGACCAGTTCTGGAGGATTTAGAGGAACTAAGGAGACCAGTTCTGGAGGTTTTAGAGGAACTAAGGAGACCAGTTCTAGAGGTTTTAGAGGGAACTAAGGAGACCAGTTCTAGAGGTTTTAGAGGGAACGAAGGAAACCAGTTCTAGAGGTTTTAGAGGAACCAAGGAGATCAGTTCTGGAGGTTTTAGAGGAACCATGAAGACCAGTTCTAGAGGTTTTAGAGGAACCATGAAGACCAGTTCTGGAGCATGTGTAAGATCTTCAGAGGTTGCACATAAAATAATTATGTTTTATCTAATTGGCTGTAACTTYRTTGTTCCTCAACATGAGATGATCTTAGAKTWAAACTCTAACTGATAAAARGTGACGGGGGATGTACAATAATCAATGGGCAAACCAGACTTGGTTTTAATGGAGACCATTGCAGAGTGGTGAATCGGTCCCTCCCCTGTCCATAGGTGAGAGTGACTCAGGGTCAGGAGCCCCCCCACCTGATGAGCATCTTCCAGGGCAAACCCATGATCATTCACAGTGGAGGAACGTCCCGGAAAGATGGGCAGTCCAAGCCCAGYACCACCCGCCTCTTCCACATTCGTCAGAGTTCTTCTGGTGCTACCCGGGCCGTGGAGGTGAGCTGGTTTTCAACATGTGRCTCTGTGTGCTCATGGGTACAGTAGAGTTCTGATTGGTCTGTCCTGAACCTTCAGGTCAAGGCCTGTGCCTCCAACCTGAACACCAACGACGTGTTTGTGCTGAAAACCTCCAGCGGCCTGTTTGTATGGCGTGGAGTTGGGGCCAGCAGCGAGGAGGTGGAGGCGGCGAAGCATGTTGTGGGGTTTTTTGGTGGCAGCCCGACCAATGTGTCAGAGGGCAAAGAGCCAGGTAGGTCTTCAACGTAACACTCRTTCTCTTAGTTTCTTCAGATCTTGAGTCAGATCTGAGAGATTTTAACAAGAAAAATGTATTTTTATTATCTGCTGCTGAAAGGTTGCACTGTTAGCAAAATATCTCATGARCCACARGACAGATTGTAATGAAACTTTCAGAGAGCAATCATTGGATGCACATCTACAACTCCTTAACATTTGGTGTCAACTCAGTTCAAGATGACTGTCAAAGCTAACCAACCTTAGCTAACACAATAATGGCTAAATCCCAGGCAAATTTACACATAATGAGCTAAAATCTAGTGAGAAGGTAGCTGAGAGTCGTACAGAAAACATCCTCTGAGCACTTAAAGATCTTACAATACTGAATGAGATTGCAAATAACACCATTTACCAACTAAAACAGCGTTAGTCTCTTCTCATCTGAAGATGATCTTGGTTTTAAACTCTGGCATATGAGTGTGGCGGGTGACATGCATTCTTTCTTTAGAGAAAGGATTAAAATTTTAGGATAGTTTAAGAATGGTTCTTTGAGAAACCTTTAGGAGGATAGAGCTGCAACATGTTTTGAAATATGTAAGTGTAAGGGCTTGACTTACAYTTCTTATAACAAAGTTATAAGGAAATTATTTAACAAGGATCTCTTATTTTCAGTAGATATCTCTTCTGTGCAAAAGTGAATGGATAATACAATACATAAGTTTATAACTGTTCAGGACTGTAAGACCTCATTTTGTAATAACGCATTATGTAATAATGTAAAAAAAATCAGGCTTCAAAATGTAATACACTTGCGCTAAAACCGCATTATGTAATAACTGAAACAAAATGTAATAAAAGTCTTCAACGCATTTTGTAATAACTTTATTACATTTTGCGACAATCATTACAAAATGTGTTGCTGTAATAATCTGGTGCATTATGTAATAAACAGTCAAAAAACAGTATTTGTGTTCATCCTAATCAATTTACTTGTAATAACTGTCATGTTGCAAATACTACATAATTAAATCTTTATAACTTTGGTCAAAAAACACCAAACTTCTCATCTTTTATTTGCATTTTCAGTCAAATTCTTGTGTATATATGGATGTATGGAGCAATCTCACAGATTTTTTTGTTTTATGGAATCTTTCAAAAACTTAGTTTCTAATTTATTCACCATGTCAGAGCCTGCACGACGTTAAAAACAATTAACATCAAATATCCATTTCCAGCCCACTCTGTTGCTACAAACACGTTCTTCAACCCTCATTTCCTTCTGATACAGAAGCTGACAGTGCGCCTGCACCGCGCCCCCCTCCAGTGTGATTAATAGTTTTTTTTAACTGTACAGGTAAACGTCTGAAAGGGTTGACGTATGTACAACTAACTTTTAGATATATTTTCAGAGTTGTCTACAAAGTGAATGAAATCTAAAACAGGGATCAGGACAGTAAATCTGAAAATGCAAATAAAAGATGAGAATTTCTGTGTTTATTGACCAAAGTTATAAAGATTTAATTATTTACAACATGACAGTTGTTACAAGTATATTGATTAGGATGAACAGAAATACTTGTTTTTGATTGTTTATAACATAATGCACCAGATTATTACAATACATTTTGTAATAATTGATGCAAAATTTAATAACGTTATTACATGATGCATTGAAGACTTTTATTACATTTTGTGTCAATCACTACATAATGTGGTTTTAGCGCAAGTTTATTACATTTTGAAGCCTGATTTTATTACATTATCACATAATATGTTACTACAAAATAAGGTCTTACAAGGACCGACGCATTTCTGGTCTGGATCTTATTACACTCAGTGAAGATGATGCATGTCATCACACAGCCAAAGGGCTCTGACTCATTTCCTGCTCAAACACAGTCACACGGAACGAGCAAGCTTCTCARATCTGATGCTTGTTGTGTTATGTTTACTTCAGCTAACTTCTGGGATGCTTTGGGTGGAAAGAAGGAGTACCAGACCTCCAAGAGTCTGCAGGGCTCAGCCAGACCTCCACGTCTCTTCGGCTGCTCCAACAAAACCGGAAGACTCATTGTGAGTCACATAAGCAGAACCTTTTTTACTCATCTTTGACACAGAAACATTAGTTAAATATATGTGCAAAGCTTTAATCTGAGTTTTTATTTTCCCTGTTTGTCAGGTGGAAGAGGTACCCGGAGACTTCACACAGTCAGATCTGGCTACTGATGACGTCATGATCCTGGACACCTGGGACCAGGTAGGACGAACCTTATGGATGATCCTTTCAGCGTCTGAAAAGACTCTATTGCTATTAATTTCTGTGTAAAGCATGTGTCTTAGCTGTGAGATGAATCCTGTTCTGTTCGTGTTTCTGCCCACAGCTCTTCCTTTGGGTCGGTAACGAGGCTAACGCAGAGGAAAGAACCGGAGCTCCCAAAATAGGTCAGTTACACCACAACTCTGAGGGAGAAACAAATATAGTCTTTGGCAAAGAGCTCGATGTCAGGAAACATGATTTCTGAGATGAGAGGAGATAAAGTCAGTATTTTAAAGTAGTTTTTCCACCTTAAAGAACCTGATAAACTTAAGAAAGTGCTACACCTCAGATGAAATGCAGAATTATCTATAAGTCCTGTAAAACTGACAGTGGTGTAAAGCTTTTAAAGCAGTGTTTGCATTACTCAGTATATTTTGAGGGTCAGAGTTGTTTTAAAACAGAAAGCTACTTTAATCGAAAATCAGACTGGATCTTTAATTACATTTCACGACTGAACTTTCCTCTTATGTGTGACGATGACTATTAAATGGCACAAATCCAATTGCATTCAGGTATTTTATGGGATAATTCGGTTCATGAAGTGGAAGTCAATTTGGTTAAGTTAACTGGTTATTCTAAATTGACTCTAAAGTGAGTCGAAGCATAAATGTTTATCTTTTTGTGGCTTTGTAATGGATGGGCAGTAGTTTCTTGCTCTTTGATCCAAAGAGATAGGCACCAGCACCCCATGACCCTGAACTGGACCTACTGTAAACTACCAGTCTGATCCCAAACCACCACCAACAAGACAGTAAAAACAAGAGATGATGGAAGCAAAATATTCAGTGCCTGATCAGCTGACGAACACTAATTCCATAAATGTTGTGAGGTTCTGTGAAATTTAAAAAAAAAATAACAAATGTAATGATTTAAAAAAAAAATCTCATCAACCCATATTTTATTTCTAGTGAAACAAAGTAAATATAAGTGAGCATCATGGAAACAAAAAAGACATGGAGTGGGATTTAGAAATCACATCCAGGTGACCAGAAGCTGTCTTATTCTTGGTTTGAAGTGTTTTGTGAAGCTGCCTCGAGTCTCCAAAATAAGATTGCTTTGATTTTTGTCTGCTGCCGTTTAGATACTGATTTATCACAAGTGCTCGACAACAATTTCACCTAGAGAACTGTTGTTTTTGGCACCGATGATGTGGTTTCTTCTGGAGTTTTGATGAAACTACTGGAAACTGACAGGAAATTTACTTTTTCCTCCTATCACTCATATATTCTTCAATATCACAAAGTTAAATGGTTTAAAAGTCCGTGTTCTCTCATAGGAATCAAATTAATATATTTAAAGAAACATTAATCATTGAGGAATCTGGGATCAGTGAGAACACAAATGGTCTAACTGCATGATTTATRGCAGGGGTGTGAAACTCCATTCCCGCATGTTTTAAAGGTTTTCCTGCTCGAACACACCTGGTTTCAATGGATGGGTGATTAACAGGCTTCTGCACAATTTGAAGAGTTAATTCAATGACTGAATCAGGTGTGKTGAAGCAGGAAAACCTCTAAACCAGTGGCCCAATGTCAGTCCTCGAGGGCCAGTGTCCTGCATGATTCAACACAGCTGAACCTAAGGAGGGCTTCATTAGTAGGCTTCTTCAAGATGCAATCTGTCCAAAAYGGCAGGTCGCGTCCTCCGAAGGCCAAATTCATCAGCCGGATATGTCATAGCGCCGCAACGAAGGACGTCCCAAACCGAAGACTCCTCTGATGTGGCCGACAAATACGTCCTTCCTTTTCCCCGATTTGAACAAGTAGGGGTCTCTGCAGATGAGTGGGTGTGTCACAACGAAAGGCGATTCTAAAGCGACACACCTGATTTGACGGACTTTGTTAAAGGGAAACACCTGACTGGACAAGCAAAAAAGGGGCGTCACTGTACGACACCACCTGTTTGGACAAGAACAAAAGGGGCGTCACCGTACGGCACCATTTTTTTGCCTGAGAACCCTACTTGGGTCACATTTCTCCTGGTTAACCTTAGTGTTGGGTTCAGGGTCAGGCTGTAAAGAGGTCAAGCAGGRTCTAAGGATACTGTCATGTAGGCCTTGTAGCCCACAGTGTTTATGCTTTAGACACGCCCACTCTTGTGTCACGCCCACTTTGATTCCGCGGAAAACCCCTTCTCGATTTGAAGGACAGATCTGATGGATCCTTCCTGGCCCAGCATATCCCATAATGCATTGCGGCCCGACCGGAGATTTTTTTTTAAGCTAGTAATGGCGGACGAAGCGAGAGAAAAGAATATGTTTTAAATAAAGATATGGTGGTATAAAAATTTTTAATTTTTGGCGGTTGTAATTCTAATACTTTTATCATTTGTATAGACATGTTTTTAAATATTAATTTTGTCATAAAAAAACGCAAAATAAACATGCACCTACAGCGGGTCAATTAGTTCTTCAAATGTTACCTTTAAGTTAATTTTATTGTTTTGTGATATTAATAACGCTAATAGATTGATATTTTTCTAATTTTGATCTATTTTTGCTTTTGTTTAGCATGGTCATGGTTGCTAGGTGACATGACGTACGCCGGGGTAAGGACGGGAGGCTAGACCGTCCAAATTCAGACACTTTTTTTCGGGTCTTCCTGGTCTACCGAGGACCCGGCCCACCTCGACGGGTAGTCTGGGTCCTCCGGAGGACCTGGCCTGTCGTTTTGGACACAGCCAAGGTCTGCAGAGGCCTACTAATGAAGCCCTCCTTAGGTTCAGCTGTGTTGAACCAGGGCAGCTCCTAAAACATGCAGGACACTGGTCCTCGAGGACCAAATTTGGACACCAGTGCTCTAAACCATGCAAAGGACTGAAGTTTGTCAGCCTGATTTAGGGTGATAAAATTGTGTACTCAGTGKTCACATTCAGAAACAATTGTTGATTTTTGTTTCTTTTTTTTAAATTGCATGTTTTATAAATCAMTGCATCTGTATGCACTGTTACCAACACAAACATGGTCCTACTTTTACATCTACCACTCTCTTTCCTTTGTCTGTCATGCAGCCAAAGAGTATGTGGACTCAGACCCCTCAGGTCGCAGAGGACTGCCCATCACCACCATCAAACAAGGAGCAGAGCCTCCAACTTTCACCGGCTGGTTCCAGGCGTGGGATCCCCAGATGTGGGAGAAGGACCCGCTGGACAGAATCCGAGCCCGTTTCTAATGTCAAAACTCCATGTTTTTCAATGACCTAGTACTTTGTGTTGCCTTGTTTTTTCTTATGCTTTAGTTTATTTGAACCCCTAAGTGCCAAAACAAATATCAGGTTTATTTTTTTGCCATTTTGCCTACAGTGCACTAGATTTTGTCAACAGAAATGGATCACACCGGTGATGCCTTCCACAAAAATATGTGTTTTATAAATTGACATACATGTTTGTAATTAAATTATCAGAAGCTAAACAGGAATATTATTTTAAATGCCTGCAGATGTCCTTTTTGTTTCTGTTTCTCTGGCACAGTGCAGTAAAGAACTAGAACGGTACAAGCGAAGCTGGTAACAAGACATAATACTGCCTGGTTTGTACCAGGTATGCACTAGATATGTATCAGGTACTTACCAGATCTATATCAAGTACATACCACATATGTACCAGGTACTTAGTCTGTACTGAGTACATATTGGGTACTTAACAGGTACTTATTATCTACTTTATTGGTATTATGGACYTTTTACCAAGTATATACTAGTTACTTACTCTGTAAATACTTGGTACTTATTAGATAATTATGTTGTAGGTAGGTAAGTACCAGGTAAGCACTTACTCATGTGTTTGTTACCTATGGGGATCAGGCTGTACAATGGCTGTGTMCTGTATTTCTACAGAAAGGCTCCCTCCTTCACCCAACATTTGTCTGTTTTATGTTTACTTATTTGCACCAGAAGGTTGTACAGAACCTTTCACAAAAGCTGCACTTGTCATATTTCCTACTTGTGTATTTTAAAAGATGTACAATGTAAAATTTGCAAAAGTTACTTGAGTCATTTTCAAAGTGCCCTGAAATGTTCTGGCTTTAAAATAAAAGTTGTAAATGAAAGTTTTGGACTTCTTAATAGATTAGTATGGATGGAATAAAATCAAAATGCACATAACATTGTGAACCAGTTAAAATGACCTACAGAAACTGTCAGCGTTCACCAGATCTGACTGACTGTCTCTCAAAGACAAACTGGGATCTTGTCCCAGCTTGCAGCATCTGTCTAAACAAGATGAAGACATGAAAGCATGAGTCACATCTTTGGCGCCTTTCAGAAAGYACAGGCAACAAGGTTCCTTTGAGAGAGGGAAGAAACAGCTACCTGGAAATCTATTCTGCTGAATTATTTTAAACTGATAACCCCAGAAACATTAGGAAAAGAATCCTCAAATTCTGATTTTAGCCATTTTTTTTGCAAAAGAAAGCTCAAAGAAGCAACAAATACTTCAACTTTCACCTAAACCAAAGTGCCAAAAGTACCTTAGTCATCTGAAGCATTCATACTTCATTTCCAGTGCAATGAAATGCCTTTATAGTATTTTCCAATGTATTCATAATTTTTTTCAGTATTTAAAACTAATATTAATACAGTTAAAAATCAGAACTGTCAGAAATACAGAGGGCTAAAAAAACAGCATCAGTGGCTGTTGATTTCCTGGCTGCCTGACCAATATGAAGAAGGATTGCCATTCTATCAACACTCAGACTTCTGCCTTGAGCGAGCTGGACTCGGTCTGTAAGCGGTTCTGCTGAGGGTCGCGGGCCGGCTGTGGTTTTGCTGGCCAGATGGAATTAATYTTGGAGAAAGCTGACAGCAAGGCTCGGCRGAATTTGTCCACACTATTTATCTGATTGGATTYGCCACCTTGAGTTGTACCAGTGGACATTAAGGCAGATAGAAAATTGGTATCGTCTGCCTGACCGAAAACATTTCTTCTGTTCCCAAACAACTGATTACAGATTTGGCTCTCCTACGTGGCCTTGAGCAGTTGGACTAAATTCTTCTGCATGCTTACATCGACTGAGGGTCTGCYCCCCCACACCCTCTGTGATCTGGTTCCTGGAGCAAGCTGAAGGCCGCACAGAATGAATAGTTGCCATCAATATTCTGAACTATGGCTGGGTGGGATTTGGGGGCGCATTTTTCAAATATTCACACAAGCGCATACAACACTCATGGCTTCAGATACATGCCCCCTAAACTCACTTACCTAATAAATGTGCTCTATGCAGAGGTTTTTATAAACACCATAGTGTGTCACCTTGTTGATATAATATGATGTTTTGTTTTTTTCCCCCCTCATCTTCCCTTGTGTGGTTTTTAGTTTTTCTTTTAAKGGTTGCACCTCCTCATGATAACTTCGTGATGATGATCCTTGTTCTGTGCAGGGGTCTGTGGCAGCCTGACCCAGAGCACCTGTTCTCCTATGTTTGTTATGTTCGGTCTTCTTCTGAATGGGTGTTCTGAACTGTAATTTCATTGTGCTCTGTACAATGACAATAAAGGTCTAATCTAATCTAATCTAATCTAATCTAATCTAATCTAATCTAATCTAATCCATCCATCCACTTTACTTACTTTTCACTGTCAAGTTGTGGGGTGCTGCAGTCTATCTCCAGCATTCACTGTGAGAAACGGGGTACACCTGTTCAAGACTTCAGCCTATCAGGGACACATATAGTCAAATGAGACAATCATTCACACCTAGTGACAACTTAGAGCTTCACTGTAATTATGCTAAAATATTTTTTTCATCTAAGTTGTTGCTACTTATTTCCTTTCTTTCAGCTGTTTTCTCTTCATTGGTTGCCTCGTAAAGTCATCCTCCTCTACCTCACTCTGTGTCTTTTCTAACTACATCCATATGTCCCGCTTTGTCTTACATGCATACCTCCACCTCCCCAAGTTTTCTTTCATCTACAAACCTGATTCCAATGAAGTTGGGACGTTGTGTAAAACATGAATAAAAACAATATGATTATTTGCAAAATTTTCAACCTACATTCTACTGAATACACTTCAAAGACAAGACATGTAATGTTCAAACAGATAAACTTTATTGATTTTGAAAATCTAGTCATTTTGACTGTGATGCCTGCAACACATTCCAAAAAAAGCTGGGAACTGATCTAACACTTTGCAGTGATCGTTTGCGCTCTACTGGTGAAAATTACTATTTGTGCTTTCCAGACTTAGTAAGAAATAACTTGATAAACTGAATAAACTTACCTGTGCTGATCTCTAGGGTGGTGCAGCTGGTCCTTCTGCTCATGACGAGACGTGTGGCCTCTTGGTTCTGTGTTTGGGTTGACGTCGTCTCTGCTGGAACCTCTGTTCTGTAAAGGATTTTCAGGTTGGAGATTGAAGTCATGCCTGACTGTCCTCTCTCCCCAGTCAAGCCTGCTCTTCACCCATCACCTGCTTGTTTTGTGGAACCTTTGCCTCCTCCTCTAAGCCTGTTACAAGGACAATATCTGCCCTTCATTGGAGTTGGGGTTGTATTCTCTGTTCTCACTTCAGATCACAATGTCTTTTGTTATAGTGCACGAGGACAAACACGAGGGCTCATCTGTTAGTCTGTCCATCACCAGAGAAAATAAGAAGAGACTCATAGCTGATCCTTGGTGCAGCAGTCCCACCTCCGAAGCTACCTGTCACTCCTACAGCAAATCTCACAACTGTCCTGCTATCATCCTCATGCACCAGTCTAACATACCTGCCACTCCTGATTTTACCATAGGACACCACAGCTCCTCTACCTTTCCCTTTCATTCTCTTCAAAGTACTCCTTCTGTCTTCACATCACACTCTCCTCATCTGGTAAAATATTACAGCTTCAATCTACCTAACTTGTTGCACATCCTTCCCAGCCAGATCTCTCTGCCTCACAAGTTCTTCTCTTAGTGTCCAGCCTCTTATACAACTCATCATGTACCTTTTGTTTTGCCTTTGCTACCCTCTTCTTGCTCTATGTTGCATCTCCTTACATTGATGTCTACTCTCCTCAGTCCTCTTTGTACCATTTCACCTAAGCTAACCACTTCCTCTGGATAACTTCCTGCACTTCATTATTTCACCACCAAGTTTCTTTATCATCTTTACTCTGTCCAGTTGACAAACCAAGTACCTTACCTTCCTGTCTCTCTGATCACTGTTGCTGCAGGAGTCCAGTCATCGAAGCTCTTTCTTTATCACCCAGAAAGCCTTTAACATCTCATCTCGGAAAGCCTCACATCTTTCCTCCTCAACTTCCACCATTTGGTCTTCTTATCTGCCTTTATTCATTTTCTTCACCACAACAGTTAATTAGCTACCATCTCTGATGCTGTCTGGCCACACTCTCCTACAACCTTACAGTCTCCTTCAAGTTTCCTCTTCAGTTTACCTGTGCACTGCTGTCCCCCACTCCCTTAGGTCAATCTGTGTTAACTCCCACTTTTGGAAGAGTCAATATTACATTTATTGAGCTAAAATTTAGTGTGGTTGTAGCTGAGATAAAATCATTATTGAAGTGTGACTAAAGGTGCCACTCTTTTCTCAACATAAATGTTCTTAATGTAAAACACCTTATTGAAAGGCATTTTTTCCAGAAAAGAAATGTAGTTGTTTTAGCATTAAAACAAAATAAATTATAAACACAGCACACAATAATATATATTTAAAAAATGTAAAAACTGTAGCGACTAATTAAGAACAGGAATATTTCCTGGGACATTTGAACTTTAATGAGAGTAGGGACCTTTTATTACACCTGTTAAAAGTTAGGACTGACAGCGTACCAATCTGCTGTTGACACTAAAATTATACCTTTGGGACCTGCCTGTTGTTAGGACGTATTATGTTTAAAGTTGGGACCTATACCTGTCTATTCTGGGAACTATTAATCCACAGTGGAGTATAATAATACAGCTGTCTATTGTTCAACCTAATATACCTGTCCATAGCTGAGTCTAATAATACACCTGTCTATAGTTGAGTCTATTAATACACCTGTATAGTCTATGATTATATGAGTTTAATGTTGGGACTTATTAATACACCTGTCCATAGTTGAGTCTATTAATACACCTGTCTATAGTAGTCTATTAATACACCTGTCCACAGTTGAGTCTATTAATACACCTGTCTATAGTAGTCTATTAATACACCTGTCCACAGTTGAGTCTATTAATACACCTGTCCACAGTTGAGTTTATTAATACACCTGTCTATAGTAGTCTATTAATACACCTGTCCACAGTTGAGTCTATTAATACACCTGTATAGTCTATGATTATAT